ACGTCATGCAAACAATTACCAACATTATGAGCAATAAAAACACGACTGATTCAACACATTTCCGCAACAGAGAAGAACAATGAAAATCTACCATAATTTAACATGTTAAACCTTCCGGTAAATTGGAAGCAAATCCATCGGAGATTTAGTCAACAAACACAAACCACTTTATGTTGAATGAGGGTAACACATCACCTGAATACGTCAAATGGATTAGTGCCTTAAGGTTTACAACATCACATCCGCTACCCACTTTAGCAGTTTTTCTGAATAGTATTGATATGGAAAATGCATCTACACATCAAGATTTTATGATAATGGCACTGAGCTGATAACTAGAATAAGAGGTCATAGTAGCAGATTTAAAACAGAGATGACGAGAAATTACTTCTCTCAAAGAGTTGTGAATCTGTGGAATTCACTACTCCGGAGTGTGGTGGATGCTGGAACATTGAGTAAATTTAAGGAGGAGATAGGGAGATTTTTAATTAGGTTTTGGTGAAAGCATTATGGAGAATCGGCAGGAAACTGGAGTTGTGGCTGAGATGAGATCAGCCATGATCATTTTAAATGGTGGAGCAGGCTCCAGGGGCTGAATTGCCTCCTCCTGCACCTAGTTCTTATTTTCTTATTTTAGCGTGTTCCCCACCTTGTCCCTCCAATGAAGAAGTCACACAAGACCCCGCCAAGTGTAAAGCTAACTGCTCTGCTCAGCGGGGTGTCTGTCGCCTCAGGCACAGACTCCTGGCCCATCTGGGGAGGAAACCCTGCTTTAGAAAGCTGCCAGCCAATCCAATTGTTAGTTGTGAATGGTGGACCCTATTGGGATGACAGCCGTAATGTGAAAAAAAGGATGTTTTGGAAATCAGACCGAATTAAAGTCTGGGCAAACGCAGGAGCTTGGTTGGCAGGTCCCAGTGAGTGGGTAAGATAGGAGGGGTGCTGAAGAATTAGTGGAAGTGACAGTAAGGCCTTACTCATGGGATGGTGATGTGGGAGATGACTTTGTTGGACACAAGGGACTTTGATACCATCTTGCCCAGTAAAAGCTGCTGACTACCTACTTTGGCTGAGCCACCCCCGGGCCACTGGTAGGGCAGGATGACGCCCTTAATTGCTCACTGAATTGGGGTAAGTGCTTCACAGGCAATTTCTACTGTAAAATGGGAGACAGCTTGTGCAGTCCACGCACCATACTTGACAAATCCCCTCACCCTTTTGCAAACACACCTGTGGAGAGCTGTAAAATCCTGTACTGGTTTTCAGTTGCTAATGCACAAGACATTAAGAATTTAGAAGACTCAAAAAACCTATCTTAGATTTCCTGAAGCACTTGATATCTTTTGGGAGGGGAAGGTACCAGTGGCCAGGGAAAGCACATGGCAAAAGGACGCAGTGAAACTGACCATAAAACTCTGTGTTCTAATTTTAAACTATTACCTGGTACAACAATCATTGCTCTATGAGCCTATTGTGCTGAACTCGTAGCTGAAAGAGGAACAAACTCTTCCTTTACACCATTTAAAAAATAACTGGTTTGTAAACAGATTCAAAATTGGGACTAAATAAACAAAAAGGGCTGATGTTTGTGGAGATATATTGGTAACTTAAGCAAGCATAACTAACTAGTGTTTGAACAAAGAACAAAGAAAATTACAGCACAGGAACAGCCCCTTTGGCCCTCCAAGCCTGCGCCGATCCAGATCCTTTATCTAAACCAGTTGCCTATTTTCCAAGGATCTGTATCCCTCTGCTCCCTGCCCATTCATGTATCTGTCGAGAAACATCTTAAATGACGCTATCGTGCCCACCTCTACCACCTCTGCTGGCAACGTGTTCCAGGCACCCACCACCCTCTGCGTAAAGAACTTTCCACGCATATCTCCCTTAAACTTTTCCCCTCTCACTTTGAAATCGTGACACCTAGTAATTGAGTCCCTGACTCTGGGAAAAAGCTTCTTGCTATCCACCCTGTCTATACCACTCATGATTTTGTAGACTTCAATCAGGTCTCCCCTCAACCTCTGTCTTTCTAATGTAAATAATCCTAATCTACTCAACCTCTCTTCATAGCTAGTGCCCTCCATACCAGGCAACATCCTGGTGAACCTCCTCTGCACCCTCTCCAAAGCATCCACATCCTTTTGGTAATGTGGCAACGAGAACTGTACGCAGTATTCCAAATGTGGTCGAACCAAAGTCCTATACAACTGTAACATGACCTGCCTACTCTTGTACTCAATACCCCGTCCAATGAATGAAAGCATGCCTCATGCCTTCTTGACCACTCTACTGACCTGCGTTGCCACCTTCAGGGTACAATGGACCTGAACACCCAGATCTCTCTGTGCATCAATTTTCCCCAGGGCTTTTCCATTTACCGTATAGTTCGCTCTTGAATTGGATCTTCCAAAATGCATCACCTCGCATTTGCCTGGATTGAACTACATCTGCCATTTCTCCTCCCAACTCTCCAATCTATCTATATTCTGCTGCATTCGCCGACAGTCCCCTTCAATATCTACTACTCCACCAATCTTAGTATCATCTGCAAACTTGCTAATCAGACCATCTATACCTTCCTCCAGATCATTTATGTATATCACAAACAACAGTGGTCCCAACACGGATTCCTGTGGAACACTACTGGTCACAGTTCTCCACTTTGAGAAACTCCCTTCCACTACAACTCTCTGTCTCCTGTTGCCCAGCCAGTTCTCTATCCATCTAGCTGGTACACCCTGGACCCCATGTGACTTCACTTTCTCCATCAGCCTACCATGGGGAATCTTATCAAACGCCTTACTGAAGTCCATGTATATGACATCTACAGCCCTTCCCTCGTCTATCAACTTTGTTTTTTCTGAACGTACATTGACAAATAAAATTTACACTGTGCATATAATGCTACTCATAAGATTCCAACCCTACAAATGCACTGAAAGCTTCTTAAACAACCTATATCTGCCATTCTTTCTCCTAACATTCACACCATGCAAACAACTTATCTTTAAAATCTACTTGATTCACAGGTCACTTCTTTTACTTGTATTGCAACTGCAAATAAAAAACCTATATTAACTCCTAAAACATTTGTATCCAGAAAAGTACCAGCAAAACACAAGGAAATATGTAGGAACAGCACTGCATTATTCTTATAGTCCACGATCAAATGAGACCATAAGACCATAGGTCACACGAATCAAAGTCGGCCATTCAGCCCACTGAGTCTTCTCTACCATTTAATTAGCTCATGACTGATCTGATACTCTACAACACCAAATTCCTGCCTTTTCCCCCTATCATATACCAATTAAAAATATAACTATCTCAGCCTTGAATATTCTTAACTATCCTACCTCTAAAGCTCTCTGCAGTGAAGAGTTCCACAGAATCACTACCTATTGAGAGAAAAAAAATTCCTCCTCATTTCTATATTAATTGGAAGACATCTTACTCTGAGATTATGTCCTCTGGTCCTAGACTCTCCTGAATGAGGAAACAATCACTCCTTAACTGCCCTGTTAAGTACCCTAAGTATCTAAGGTCATTCAATAATGTCACCATTCATTCTTCTAAACTTTAATGTGTACAGGCCCAACTTACTCAACCTTCCTCATAAGAAATTTCCCCCATGCCTTCGGGATCAACCAGGTGAACCTTCTCCATGCCAGAATATCATTGCCTAGATAGGGTTCTAGGTATGGTCTAACCAGTGCCTTTATAGTTTTAGCAAGACTTCCTTATTTTATACTCCATTCTCTTTGAAATTAGATTCAACATTTCATTTGCCTTCCCTATTACCTGCGGAACTTAGAGGCTAGCTTTTTGTTATTCACGTACAAGGACTCCCAAATACCTCTATTCTGTAACTTTCTGCAGTCTTTCTCCATTTCAATAATTTTCAGCTCCATTCTTCCTGTTTTCTTGCAATATATTCCATCTGCCAAGTTTTTACCCTCTCATCTAACCTGTATATATATCCTTCTGTAGACTTTGTCATCCTCGCCACTTGCTGTACCATTTATTTTTGTGTCATCTACCAACTTGTCATAGTACATTCACTTCCTTCACCCAAGTCATTTAACTTATATCATAATTAACTGTGGTCCTCGCACTGATCCCAGTGGCACTCCACTAGTCACAGGTTGCCAACCTGAAAATGCCCCCTTATCCCAACTCTCTGTCTTCTGTTAATTAGCCAATCCTCTATCTATGAGGCTACCATATAACATTATGCCAATGGTAATAAGGATTTTTGTGCTCGCCTCAAATTTATAGAATCATAAATATCTTATTTAGTATTATCGTTAACACATAAGTATTGTTAATACTATTGAGAAAATGTATTTATCTATCATCTATCTTGGGAGATGATGGACTGGATCCATTGTGGAGATCACTTTTGGATTTAATGTTGTTGTGGCCAAAGAGGCTAATTTGTTAGTGGCAATGCCTTCAGTAGCTGGCATGGTGAATAGTGTTGGCTCAAAGTTGGCTGATGATTATTCCTTCTCTTTTCAACTGGCTGACCATTTCTTTTGCCCTCTGCTTTTTGCACACGCTTGCAGGCTGCAGGTTTTTATTGAATATTCATGAGTTTATCAATCATCACTGCAAATTATAGTCCAGGTAATTTTTTAAACTCATTCTTGAGATGCGAATGTCAGTGGCAAAGCCAGCTTTTGTTACCTGTCCATCAATGCCCTTGAGAAGGTGATGGTAAGCTTCCAGTTAATAATCAGCTATTGGTCTGTGGACTTGCAAACCTGGTAGAAAGCTAAGATCCTGGAGGCTGGTTAGCTCAGTTGGCTGGGCAGCTGGTTTATGATGCAGACTTTTGCCAACAGCACAGGCTCAATTCCTCTACCAGCTATGATCACTGTGAAGGTTCTGCTTTCTCAACATTGCTCTTCACCTGAGGTATGGTGACCCTTGAGTTTACCTCACCACCAATTGTCTCTTTCTCATGAGAATGTGGGACTATGGAAACTTTATCTTTACTTAGAATGGTAAAAACATGCAAAAGGACAAACCTCAAAGAGTCGGACATCTGCAGGGACTCGGTCACCAACTGAAATGCACACGATGTCACCCAGTACAAGCTCCTTTGCTAGCAGATGCTCCAGTTTACCTTCACGAATGCTGAAAATGGGGAGACAGACAGACTAATGTCATCCTTTGCGCTATAAAGGCTTAAACACCACAAAAACAAATTGTTTTTGATTCCTGTTCTTTGTAAGATTATCATCAACAATTTCCATGCATCTGCTTCGGGCATGTAGCTACAACTTTGGCGGAAGTGCATCGGAAACACCATTTACACCCTCACGTGGAATTACAACTGTGTTTTAATAGTTACGGAGCTAAGTTCTAGCAGCTCCTCTTAACTTCCCGTCCTATGTGCTAGAGGGAGGATTGCTCCCACACTTCATGAAGTATTTGGAGGTATAGTGGCACCTACCAGTTACATTCTGGAGGAATCAGTTTGCCTAGTTCTTGCAGAGACTTCTCAGATCGATACTCCTGAGAAAATAAATGGTTACTAGACAACACAAAATTTTAAAGTAATTGATTTCACAAAAGTTTCTACCGAACAAACAGTAAAAATACCTTACCTGCACAAAGGCAACTGTGACAACGATTATTATAGCCTATAACATGAATGACATTAGGTTACTAAGTTGTATTAAAAACACTTCCTATTTTGCAAATGATAATAAATCAATTTCTTTTTTCAGTGTTGCAGTTATACAGTCATAGGATCACAAAGTTGTTCAGTACGGAAACAGACCCTTCGGTCTAACTCGTCCATGCCAACCCGACATATTATATTAACCTGGTCCTATTTGCCAGCATTTGGCCCATATCCCTCTAACTCCTTCAAATTCATATATCCATCCAGATGCCTTTTAAATGTTATAATTTTACCAGCCTCCACCACTTGATCTGACAGCTTCTTCCATACACGCACCACTCTCTGTATGAAAAGGTTGTCCCTAAGGTCCCTTTTAAACCTTTCCTCCCTTACCTCAAACCTCTTTCTTCTAGTTTCGGACTCCTTACCCTAGGAAAAATACCTTGGCTATTCACCTTATCCATGCCCCTCATGATTCAATAAACCTCTACAAGGTCACCCCTTAACCTCTGACGCTCAAAAAGCATCAACCAGACAGGTGACAGATGAATAACGCTGAGTTAGCCCAGTGGAGGTACCTACTCTTCCAAGAACCTTTTTCACTTGTTTCTTCATGTTATTGATCTCCTCTTTGAAATTTCCTGAATCGAATTGGAGGCATTAAAGTTCAGAAGTGCTGGGACCTCAACTACAATTGAAAGCATCAGCATGCAATGTACTTCTGCTGCTGAGATGTTAGCAAGAGAGGAAGTAAGGAAAAGAAAAAGACCACAACCCAATGCACAAGCACTTGTTATCATTTTCCACAAGTTTGAAGAAGTAAAACACTTCTGGTAAATATTTAAATCAGGCTGGCACAGAGCAATGTTGAGGCTTCTGAACCATACTGGTGAAAGAGGAAAGAGCAGCCAGTTCCTGAAGTGAATTGGTTTTCAATGGAAGTCCTCCTCAGGGAGAGAAGAAATGCTGCTCCCAGACAATACATTCCAGACTTAGCCCTCGCTGTTTTAAAATATTTCTCGTGTCACTTTTACCAATTACTTTTTGTTTCAATAAGACCCAGAGGAAAGCATTGATTGGATTTAAATGCAATTCTTGGGAGGCAAATAGTACAGTACTTTTGTGCACATAAATGAGAGTATACTAACATAATTCCATTACAATGTTCATAAACAAAGGACTCGCGGAGAAAAAAAGCAGAAAAAATTGTTATCTTGAGAAAATTCACAAAATGTAGATATCACATTTAAATTTACAAATAGCAAAAATGCAAAATACTTTCTAAGAATAATTTAGGGCTGGAAAATGAAGATAGTGCCAGCTTTGTTGTAAACCTATAGCGAGCAACAATAAAACCAATTGGTTTATTTTACAATTTATCTCTAATAATATCATTGAAACAATTCATGTCCAAAAACCTAATTATGTTGTAATAAACTGTAACAGGCAGTGGCCAAGTAGCAACCCATCCTTGCTCCTTTTTTTCAAGTATATTTATTCCTCTGTATATATTTTCTACTTTTACAAACAAGTACTTCCTTAAAAAAAAACTTGCTGTGGCCAAAATAAAGTTGATATTCAACATAACACACAGCTGAAAATGTCACATTATGTACAGGATGCCCTTGAAGGATTTTCATCCTCAGGACATCAGCTCCAAAGGAATTCCAAATCAACATGAGTATTGGGACCAACTTGGTTGGTCCAAACATTTGGTATGCAACCTGCTGAAGGATTTATCCCTGAAATGTTAACTTCTCTCTTCTTCTCAAATATAGATGTTGATGTAAGTACTGTACATTTCCAGCATTTCTGGGATGGTCACTCCTGTAAGTAGATCTGCTCTTATTTACATTGCAAAGTTGACTCACACAGACCAATATCTATTTACAACAAAGTGTGAGCCAGCAGATGTAACAATGTACTGTCTTAATACACAAACCGGTCATAGCACCTTTTTGTATAAGCCCTTCTCAAGTGTGACACTATATCTCTCAATAGATGGACTATTTACTCACCAATGAGATGAGGGCAGAATTAAAACAATGAACTGCTTTATTTCTCAGGCTATGAGCAAACACAGAGCATTATTTCTGATCAAACTCACTTAATTCAATCTGCATAACATGGGTTTATGAAGGAATACAAAGAAATGAATGTACTATGCTTCCCCACATCATATGGTCATCACATGGATTCATATAATTATAAAGCACAGAAAGAGTACATTCAGTCCATCTGTCGAGTTCTTTGTTACAGTTACCCACTTACTCCCAATTGCCTGCCTTCTCCCCACAACTCTGCAAATGTTTCCTCCTGAAACATTTACCTAATTTCCATTTGGAAGTTATATATTCTGCTTCCACAACTTTTTCATCTGCAAATTCCAGATCATAAGAACTCACTGCATTAGAAAAAAAAAATTTCAGACTTTAGAATCCCTACACTGTGGAAAGAGGCCCTTCAGCTCAACAAGTCTACACTAACCCTCAGAGCATCCCACCCAGACCCCTATAAGCCATCTAATTGGCACATCCCTGATCACATTGGCAATTCACCTAGTCTGTACATCTTTGGACTGTGGGAGAAAACCACAGCATCTGGAGGAAACCCACACAGACACAGGGAGAATGTGCAAACTCCACACAGACAGTCACCCAAGGAGTGGAATTGAACCTGGGTCCTCTGGTGTTGTGAGGTAGCACTGCTTACCACTGAGCCACCATGCCACCCCAAATTCTTGCTCTTTGCTTTAAAAACAAATAATTTTAGTCTGTCTTTTCTCACTAGGACCTGTATTCTAATCTTCTGGATCCTGATAAAATTCTGCACCAGCAGCTTTCTGCTTAAAATCCTGAACTTTCTTTTAAAGTTCTGGCCTTATTTTGTTTTCTAATTCTAAAAACCAATAGGAAAGAGAAAGCCCTGCTAAATGCCCAGTACCTGAGGCTGAAATCTTTATCAATTGTTAAATTAGGCAAGCAAATCATGAAGCATTTTCACCTTGGAGAAATAACTTCTATACCTAGCTCATAACATTTTAACCTCTTCCCGTAATTTTGCTTTTAAAGAAAGAAGCTTGCACACACACTTTGCTTTTAAATTCCAACTTATAAATTTATCTGATATCCTTTCTGCGGAAAATTTGCAACCCATTTCCCTGTCTTTCCCTCAACAAATACAAAGTCAAAATAATGTGCCAAATCATATTCACTAACAGAATTGATTGGGTGAACATTTATACGTACCAATGTTATGCTCACTGCATCTTCAATTTCTTTAGTGATGAGACTAATAACAGCTGAGGCCAAAAGTAACAGAATAAGGGGGTTCTTGAACTAGGATTGAAAACAAAAATTAGCAAGTGTACTGAATATATTACCTATCAAAATGTAAATCTAAGGTTTGAATATACTGGTCACCATTTGTGTATAATGGCTCATGTGTCTGGATGGGATTAATGCAGTTATAAAAGCTGACATCTAAATGTTTGTTTTTTTATATACTAAGCTTTCACTTTATCTTGTGACACATACTTTAATGAATAAAGCATCCATGACAGAGTTAGCTAAGCAGGACTTAATGGCTTAAAAGAGGAAAATGCATAGTACAATATTGGTTCAAAGGGCCAAGGACATTCAGAATGGGCTTGAAATCTTAGTTAAACAGTCAAATGTTAACAGTACAAGGAGGAATAAGCTTGAATAACTGATATTTTCCAATGTCTTTATAACTTTGCTTACCAAAGTACACAAACACATCAGTTAACAGATTATTTAACACATGACAAATAGTGCTTAAAGTTGATTAAATTTTATCTCAACATAAAACCTTTCCTACATTTTGTAGCAACAAATTTACACAACTGTAAACAAACTGATTCATCTGTGAAGGTTACCAATTGCTAACCAACTGCATTTCTGTAGGAAATACAAATATTTTAAAGCAATAGTACTCCTAGCTAAAAACAGCAAAAACATTATTTATATAAAAAGTATAAAATCACATTAAGCAAAATCTGTTTCAGAGATAGTAGGAACTGCCGATGCTGGAGAATCTGAGATCACAAGGTGTAGAGCTGGATGAACACAGCAGGCCAAGCAGCATCAGAG